AGGATGGTCTCGATCTCCTGACCTCGTGATCCGCCCGTCTCGGCCTCCCAAAGTGCTGGGATTACAGGCTTGAGCCACCGCGCCCGGCCAGTGTCTCTTTTTATTTTTTATTATTTATTTATTTTGAGACAGTCTGACTGTCGCCCAGGCTGGAGTGCAGTGGAATGATCTCGGCTCACTGCAACCTCCGCTTCCCGGGTTCAAATGATTCTCCTGCCTCAGCCCCCCGAGTAGCTGGGTCTACAGGCGCCCGCCACCACGCCCGGCTAATTTTTGTATTTTTAGTAGAGACAGGGTTTCACCATGTCGGCCGGGATGGTCTCTATTGCTTGACCTCGTGATCCGCCCGCCTTGGCCTCCCAAAGTGCTGGGATTACAGGCTTGAGCCACCGTGCCCAGCCTAGTGTCTCTTCAGGATTGTTTTATTAAGATCGCTTATTTGATAGCAGATACTATAAAGTTACTAACGATACTGTAAAGACACGGTGGCAGCTCCCAGCTGTGGCACTCCGAGCTCTCCTCTAACATTCTGAATTCACAAACGTTTACTTGCTGGGTTTGCTCATTGTTGATTTAATACTTTGCCTGTGGTTTAAACTGTTAAATTGTTGCAAATTGCTATTCTGTGCAAAAGAAACTTGCACTGTCTTGCACCCCCCAGTTCGGCTCTCACGGCATTCCCCAGCGTTCCCACTCTTCTGTGTGTGCTTTGGCTATTGTGGGACTGTACTCAGGGCTGAGAGGAGGGCATGGGGCTTCCGCCGTGGCCACAGGGCTGTGGGAAGGCCACCAGCAAGGGCTGGGGGGCCAGGGGGCTTCCAATCTGTCAGGTGCAGGACGTGGCGCACGTGGGCTTGTGCTGTGGACGAGGTTTTGCTTCTAGGGGAGAAACTGGCCAAGGTGCACCAGGCATCAGCAGACCTCTCCCAGAAAGAGGACATTTCGAGAAGATGAAGGTGGAAATCAGTTTGACCTCCTTGGTCCCCTTTCTGGGGACAGGGAATCACGGTTCTGTAACAGCCGAGGTCTGGGGGAAAGAACGGGAAGAAGGACAGGTTGGAAACAGTGTGTCTTTGGGGGCTAGTAATGGCTGCAGAGCAACCCGAATCAGATTTACAACCAAGCTTCCAGGATGAGTAACTTGACATTCACAAAACTGGATGACTGTCAGTGGTAGCGCCGCATGTATCACTTTTGGGAGGGAGGAGAGATGGCAGAACTAAACAGACGGTGCTGCACTGCAGCCCCCCGCCCAAGCTGGTGAGTGTTAACATCGAAATCTGTAGCAAAACATTTGCCCGTGACTTGCACCAGTACCTCTCAAAAGGTGCCCAAATATCTAACAAACATCTGAAAAGGCAACTTCATTGGTTATCAGAGAAATGAACATTTAAAACCAGAAATGTTGTATCACTCCGCAGTCAGTGGATTGGCTAAAACCAACGAGTCAGATAAGGCCAGAGTTGGTGAGGAGGTGGGATGGGGCGTGATGGGGTGCGATGGGATGCTCGTTCCTCATGGTGGCTGTGACTTGACCTCTTTTTGGAAAACTTTGGCGATATCTTCCAAAGCGGAGCAAACCCATGGCTTGTGACCCAGCTGCTCTGCTCTGGGACATGAACCCACAGCCAGGCCCAAGGGCATCACCGGCTCTGTGTTCATCAGACCCGTGTGCCCTGCGGAGGTGGACTGGGTGAATACACTGCTGTGTACATGCCCAGGGGAGCAGCATGGAATGAGGTGAGTGGAGACAGCCCCGCTCCGCCTGGACGAGCCGACAGGCACATGCTGGGTGGAAGAAGCGCAGTGGGTCAGCACATGTGCAAGGCGTGCAGCGCAGTGACAGACCTAGCAGGGGGAGCAGGAGGCGCAGCTGCCCTGGCAGGAGGCAAAGGAGGCCTGGGGGGCTTCAAGGGCTGGCCAGGGTCTGTTGCTGTCCCTCCCCTCCCCTCCCCTCCCCTCCCCTCCCTTCCCTTCACTTCCCGTTTTTGTTTGTTTGTTTGTTTGTTTGTTTGTTTGAGACGGAGTCTCACTCTGCCTCCCAGGCTGGAGTGCAGTGGTGCGATCTCAGCTCACTTCAGCTTTGAGTTCTCCTGGGCTGAAGGGATCCTCCTGCCTCAGCCTCCCGGTAGCTGGGACCACGGGCATGTGCCACCACACCCGGCTAACTTTTTTATTTTTTGTAGAGACCGGGTTTTGCCATGCTGCCCAGGCTGGTCTTGAACTCCGGGGCTCAAGCGATCTGCTTGCCTTGGCCTCCCAAAGTAGTTGGGATTCGTTTCTTGATCTGGGTGCTGCTGGTCAGAGTGGATCCTCTCTGGAATTTCATCCAGCCGCACGCTGAAGATTTATGTACTTCTCTGTATCTGTTACACTTTAACAGAAAGTTTCCTATAAAACCGTGCCATGCCTGGCGTGGTGACTCACGCCTGTAATCCCAGCACTTTGGGAGGCCAAGGCGGGCGGATCACGAGGTCAGAAGATCGAGACCATCCTGACTAACACAGTGAAACTCCCTCTCTACTAAAAATACAAATAATTAGCTGGGTGTGGCGGCGGGCACCTGTAGTCCCAGCTACTCGGGAGGCTGAGGCAGGAGAATGGCGTAAACCCGGGAGGCGGAGCTTGCAGTGAGCCAAGATTGCACTCCAGCCTGGGTGACAGAGCGAGACTCCATCTCAGAAAACGACAAAAAAAAAACCGTGCCACATAAGCTTCGTTAGAGCTTGCGTTTTCAGTTTCATCTGATTCCCTCTGTGAAAAATATGAGCTTCTACAAAACAGCAAACTCAAAAAGCAACAACATCCAAACCCTGAAACCCAGCCGACCGGTACCACGTTAAAGCCACACGTCTGTCGATTTGCCTGCCGGGTGTTTGCACGGCCTCTCCGTCGCCGTCGCACGGCTCGGTGTGCTGGAGACCCCGGGGGACAGAGCAGTGCCCACCCGCATGGAAGCACGTTCCTGTAACAGCAGAGCAAAGGGATGACAGCCTTCGGAGGAGGCCGCTGGCCCAGGCTCCCCAGGGACACTTTGACATTCCATGTGCGGGAAGACCTGAGCACTTCAGAGCCTAAATTACGTGGGAAAAATGTGTGTGTGTCCCAAAGCTGGAGTGAGACTTCCAAGGCATGTATGAGGCACTTGGCAAGCTTCATTTGTGCCCTAAAGCACAAAGTACCAGGGCTTGGGGTGAATTTGGTGACATCCAGAGCTGGTAACCTTATTGGGGCTGGTCACCCCCCAGCGCTGAGGACTGCGGGGAAGGAATGCCTGTCATGAGTGGAACAGCCGTGTTCACACGCGGCCACCTGCTAGCCTGACCCGTGCGTTGAGCCCCGGCCCTTCTCGATCAGAGAGAAAGAGTCCCGATCGGGGGGAGCACATGGGCTGGGAGCTTGTGGAGCCCAGTGTGTGACTTGCTGCATGATTCACAGCAAGGCATTTACTTTCCTGGGCCTTGGTGACCCGTCTGGGAAGTGGGCACAGGAGCCCAGCTCTTGCATAGATAGCAGGTGAGGGCATGGGGTGGGGGGAGTGGAGCCAGGGCTCGTGGGGGCAGCACTAGAAGGATGAGAAGGGACCTATGGCCTCCAGCTCCAGGTTCAGGACTGAAACGCCAGCAGCTCCTAAAACCTTTGGGTTCTTTAAGAAAAGGCTAATTGCAGAGGACACTTGCTGACGAGGGCGAGGACCAAAGCCGGTGCTGCGTCAGCGTGGTGGCCTGCCAGCTCCAGGCTGCAAAAGTCCTTCGTCATTTCATTTCCTTCCATCCCTGTGGAGCGAACCTTGTTGTTTGCGTTTTTCAGATGAGGATACAGGTTCAGGCTCAGCTCACACGGCCCCCAGATGCCCGTCTGTGCTCCGAGGTTGGCCTGCGTCTTCTGCTCCCGGGTCCTCATGTGCCCCCATCACAGCCACCCCTGCCCTGAGAGGGAGGCCACTGGGAAAAACCCTGAGAGCGGCCGGGCCTCAGCTCAATGGACTTCATTCGTTGATTCTAATTTTTACTTACTATTTTTTTTTCTTTGTGCAACAAACATTGTCTGATAAGGGACTTCACTCTTCCAGCTTCAAGAAAGGTTGCTCGTGGGTCTGGGTGCTGCAAGGGCCCCATTGGGCCGATCTGGTGACATCACTTGGGGTGGCTTCTTTGGAAGCTGCAGGCCCCTCGGTCCACGGCCCCATCACGGCAGGCAGTGGACTGGCCGGCGGTGGGCCACTCGTTTCTCATACACATTTTAAGAGGATTTTAAAGTGTTCTTGAGTCTTTCTTGGATAACGAAAGGTATCCAGACGGTGCCGTTCCATCGTATTTGTCTCAGGTCTCATCTCTCCTCACTCTGCCCTCGTTGTAGGAGAGCCTGGCTCCCAGGCCTGCAGGCCGACCGTGGATCTCTGAGAAGCCACTGGGTGGGACTTTGTTCTCTGCTGCAGGGGGAAGCTGTAAGGGAGCACCGGGCCCCCGTCCTGAGCGTTAGTCCACCGTCCTGCAGGGTCTATCTGAACGCTAGCCTGGTGGGGAGGGGGGCCCAGGCCTCATTGTGGAGAGGGTGGGGGTGAGGAGTAAGCCCCCAGGTGGCACATTGCAGCCCCCAGGGCACCCTGGGCTGGGAGTTTAGGAGACCTAGGACGCATCCTGGGGAAGTGAGGCAGGTATGTGGTGTCTTGTTCTTTCTGGGTTAAAACCCACAGCATGACCTGTGGCTGGGATCCCCCTGTTCGTGAGTTCTCAAGCGAGGGGAGCCTGAAGGGTGTGACTCACACCTGTCTCAGGAACACGGAGGACAGAGGCGGATGGAGACGGCCTCCCTCTGTGCTTCCGGCCTCTTTCTGGGGAATGCGTGTTCAGCCCTGACGGCAGCCGAAGGTTTGTGCCAGTCTGGTCCTGCGCCCATGAGAGGGTGCTGGGCTGCAGAGATTGGTGGCAGATGCCCTGGAGGAGGGGAGTGGAGCCACAGGTGTCTCCCAGTGGCTGTGGCCGCACGTGTTGCCAGCAGCAGTCTAGGGTCCTAACACAGTGAGTGAAGGACAGGTGGAGGGGAGGGCCGAGGAGGGCCGGCCTTCCCTCTGGAAGCAAGCGTGCTACATGCCCACGGGGGACTGGAGGTGGTGGGTGTTCCAGGTCGCTGTGCAGTTCTTACACCTTTGCTGTGCGTTGGAGGAGGAATTATCTTTGTGCTCTAAAGTGTGATATATATGAGGGGAGAGCAAAGGGCTCAGACTTCGATCTGCCAAGCTATGTCTCGTGAAGTCAGGTATTCTGCAAGGGAAGCTTCTTTCTTAAGAAACAAATCAGTGTTCAGGACAAGGCTGTACTGTTCCAGCCACTGCAGAGACAGAGGATTGGGGGTTAATGTGCACACAAGTTAATTTTCCATTTGATGTTTACATTTTCATTATAAAAGTAATACATGCTTATGAAATGTAAACACAGAGGCAAATCTGATAAATAATTAAAGTTGCATTCTTCACTCCATCCCAAATGCCACTCTTTCCTGGAGGGAACCACTATAAGTGGTTTGTGGTTTATCCTTCTAGAGTTTATACAAAGTACAGGTAAGAACATGCATACACACACAGGGTTTCCAAAAATGCACCTACGTGTCATGACATCTCTCGGCAAAACCTGATTTTAACTTGTCTTGGGAAACTTTCACTACACATAGATCTACTTCATTTAAAGAAACACTTCCCTTTTTATGCATGTTCTAAAGAGGTACCTGTAGACACACACACGTATGCATTATGTCTGTGTGATGGTTTCGGAGCAGTTACCTGATCATCAGTCTCCCAGAACCGGAGTGTGCCTTAAAGACTCGAACTGTGTGTGTGCGATTTGGAAAGTGTCCTAGAGCTGCGCTCTTATATTGAGGGACTGGGCAGGGTCAGAAGCAGCCTGTCCAGGCCCACGCAGTGAGGCCTGTCCAGGAAGATTTCAACACTGGCTCTCACAGCTCCCCGGTTTCTGGGTGACCCCGCCTGGCCCAGATGCCGCCTCGCTGGAAGGCGGACTTTGCCTCCTGCCTGCTGTTTCTGTCTGTCTATCTGGTGCGTTCATAAGTTCATCGAGGTGGCAAGGAGGCCCTAGGTGCTCCGTGGCTGCAGACTCCTTTTCCACTGTGGAGCCGCTGTGCTCTGAAACGTCCTGCACGGGGTTCCTCCTGTTGGAACACAGGTAAAGGGCTCTATGCATGCATATTTCTGCGTGTTTTATTGACCGGGTCACCTGTGTTCGTTAGCTAGCAGCTCCCCTGCAGTCATCTGAAGTGCAGGGCAGCAGACACAGGGGCGGTGACGTTCGTCTGACCATGCCTGGTCACAAGACTGCTGTGTGTCTGTGGGTGCGTCTTCTCTCAGACGCTGCCTGCCTGGCACGCCCTTACCTCTTGGTGAATGTAATTCAAAGCAAAGGCTGCCCCTGGAACTGCCAGGCCGGGCCCCAGCATGTCTTGCTGTGCTGGTTTGGCTTTAGGTCAGGGGGTCCTGGTGGAACTCTGCAGACTCATGGTCGTGATGGCGCTGGGAGCCTAGAGGTATCTCAGTTGTCCTCACAGGCTTGACTTGGGTGTTGCTGTAAGTGTTCTTCTCGTCACTTCCATGTGGACTGGAATCAGGAGGCATGTCCATGGCAACACGTGGGCCCGAACTGGATGGGACCACTGTGTGCCTTCAGTCCAGCCTGCCAGAGTGACAGAGGATGATGCCGGGGCCACAGGGCAAGCCTGGCACACAAGCAAAAGGTGGGGCACATTTGAGTCACATCTCCTTTTTATTGTGGCCTTGTCTCCCTTCCTCTTCCCTCCCAAGTGAAGATGAATTTCTCCTGGGGAAGGCACTGGCCATGGCGCAGACCTGGCGAGGAAGGCAGGCAGCCCCCGTGGACGCCAGGGGTGCTCTGGCCGTGGCCGGGAACTTGTGGATTTTCCGTGCAGATGATCGTGTCATGTACAAATGATGAAAGCTTGCTTTGTTCTTTCCAATCTTTATCTTTCTCCTTTTCTTGTCCTATGCCACTGGCTGCAGGAAGTGCCCTGAGGAACGGGGCCTCGTGCCTGCTTCTTTCTTAGTCGGTGGTACGTGGCCATGGACTTTAGCATCTGCTTTTCCTGAGTCTAAATGCAAATCATCCTGTTGCTTTTCTCCTTTTATCACTTAGTGTCAATAGTCCTGTTAATTGGTTTTCTATAGTAAACCATTCCTGTGTCCTAGGATAAACCAAATATGGTCATGATATTTTGGTGAAGTCCTGGCTGGAGTCAGTTTGCAAACGTATATTTACTGTGGGTATTCCATCGCTGGGCATGCATGAGGCTGGCCTTTAACTGCAGGGCGCTCTGCCTTGTCCCTGGTGTTGTCTGCGGTGCCTTTGGTGTTTGCCCAGCGAGTGAAATGCTGACTGGCCTGTGAATGAGCACCTCACTGGAAGTTCAGTGAGTGTCTTCTCCTAGGGGAGGCAGACATTGAATTCGTGTAATATTTTGTACTGGCCGCTGCTTTGCTGAGTGTTTTCACTGGGAAGCCAGGGTTGAGTTTTGTTGTGTTGCCTGTCAAGCCTTCTTGTTAAGGAATCAGATGAACTTTGTTAGTCAGTTTCCTCATAGCAAACCATCCTTGCATTCATGAAACTGATCCACATGGTCATCGTGTGTGTTGACTTTTTAATGCACTGTTAGCCCTGTTTGCTAAATTTTAAAGACATTTTTGCATTCGTAGTCGTATGAAGAGCAGTGATTCTCAAACCTATGGGCTCTTTACACTCTTAAAAAATTACTGAGGGCCTGGTGTGGTGGCTCAGGCCTATAATCCCAGCACTTTGGGAGGCCGAGGTGGGTGGGTCACTTGAGCTCAGAAGTTTGAAACCAGCCTGGGCAACATGGTAAAACCCCGTCTCTATAAAAAATACAAAAATTAGCCAGGCATGGTGGCACATGCCTCTGGTACCAGCTACTTGGGAGGCTGAGATGGGAGGATCACCTGAGCCCCAGGGGTGGAGGTTGCAGTGAGCTGAGATCACCCCACTGCACCCTAGCCTGGGTGACAGAGCAAGACCCTGTCTCAAAAAAAAAAAATTATTGAGGACCCCAAAGAGATTTTGCTTTTGAGTTGCAACTATTGTGGTCCTTAACTGGGGTGACTCCCCTTGTCGTCTGGCGGACATTTGGCGATGGCAGGAGATGTTTTTGGTTGGCAGCTGCCGGGAGACAGTCACTCCTGCATCAAATGCACAAAGACCAGGGAGGCTGCTGAGTCCCGCAGGGCACAGCCGGCCCCACAGCAGAGTTACCCCATCCAAAATGCCAGGAGTACTGAGGTCAAGAGACCTCTAATATGGTGTTGGTAGACGCTAGTTAAGAAATTAACAGTAAGAACATTTAAAAATATTTAATAATTCATTTCAAAGCCCAATGCGTACAAAAAATATATTTTTTTTTCTGTGTCCTGAGATAAACCAGCTTTTGTAAGGAAAACCCATAGTTTCCAAAATTAGTAAGGACAGTGGCCCTGTTTTCTATTTTTATGTCCCTTTGATGTCTGACCTCAGCGGCCACAGCTGACATCTCTCTGCCTCTGCAGGCAGCCCTTCGTGCTGTGTCGTGGCTGAGGCTCATAAAGAAAATTATGCTGCACAAGGCTATGAGCTCGTGAAGAAGGCTCTCAGAACCCCCCTGCCTGCGAGGTCTGGGGCCCCCTGGGTTCCTCACACCACAATTTGAGACGGTGATTCAGACACATTTCCTTCTTCCCTTCCCTCTGCACCCTTTCTCCTTGTGAATTTTATGTCACTGTTGCTTCATTAAAGGGATTG